AACTTTATATTTTGTTGCTATTTCTATAGCTTAGTTTCGTAGCAATAGTACTCGTATTCAGCTACGGATCAAAAATTCATAGCAATGAATTGAAGTATTAGCCACAAATATTTTCTTATTGCAGCTAAAAATTCATACTTTTAGCTATGTAATATATCTTATTATAGCAAAATATTTTCTTTATTTGCTACGAAAAGTAAAAATAAGTAGCCATGTTTAGCTACAAATTCAAAAGTGCATAGCTAAAATTTCATTCTTTTTTGCCTCAAAGCATAAAATTGTTGCAAAAGATTCTTCATTTGCTATGAAAATAAAAACGTATAGCCATGTTTATACTATGTGACAATTGTATATATGTTTTGCTACGATTCAAAAATTCATAGCTACTAATTGAGAATTTTACCTCAAATACTGTTAGCCACAATAATTTATATAACGTAGATAAGAATCGTTTTTTGGCTTGAAATATACCTTCAATTGTAATTATTCAATAAATGCAATATTAAAAAAATTAATAAATGTTCAATAATATCATTCAAAACAGTGAAATACTACGTTATTCAAACATATCCGTACGCTTTTTGCCAACATTTTTTGATATTATGGTGCACTTGGTCCTTCATCTTCCAAGAGAGGCTAAGCTTGCTGGACCTGTACAATACAGATGGATGTACCCAATAGAGCGGTATATTTTTGTATTTTATAATTTCGATTTAATTTTATGTGGCTTGTTAATTTTTCATGCTAAGCGTTTAACTGATTGTTATATTATGTAGATTCTTGCGGAAACTGAAATGATATGTTCGCAATAGAAGTTGACATGAAGGATCTATTGCAGAAGGGTATATTGTTGAAGAAAGTCTAATATTTTGTTCAAGATATTTACATGAAAGTGGGAAATGGTATAATCGAGTGGAAAAGAATGATGAAGATGATCATGTTGAGTCATACTGTGGATTGTCAATATTTGAACAAAAAGGTGGCCCTTTGTTAAGAAATACATCTAGAAATCTTGAAGAGCTTGAGCGAAAACAGGCTCATCTTTATGTTTTGAGAAATTGTGAAGAAGTTCAACCATTTTTACGGTACACTTTCTTATGGTATTGTATATAGCAATTTGATTTTGTTAGCTTTTTCTCAATTATTATTTTAATTTTTAAACAGGGAGTACGAGCAGAGTAATAGTGACATGAACTTTGATGATTAGTTTTTTCATCGAGTAAGTTTTCACTGTATTCTTTATTCAATTTGTCATACTTATAATTTAATTTAGTTTATCTTTTGAGTGTTTATGGTTGTATGGTGGGTGCTGCTGCAAGAATTTTATTGTTATTCCCATCTTTGTAGTCCTAACTGTTTTATATGATAACCTGAATCAAATTGGCAATTTTTCGTTAATGTTGGCTTGTCTCTAGTCTCATTTCTTTAGTTGTATGGGCATTGCATTACATAGTCCAAACTATCCTATTAATATTAAGTGTTATATTTGTTACTAAATCCGCCAGTTTTAGGAAGTTCTTTGCCAAAAGTATCCCTCTTGTTATCTTCTCTATCCTGCTTTAGCATTATTAGATTATTTAATTATTTATTTTTGTACAGATCATGCAAATGCGCAAGGAAGGAAATTCACATGTAAGTTGCAGATTGTATTCTTTGGCTAGAGGTCCTTTTGATGGAATTCAAAGATTCAAAGGGTATGAAATAAATAGTTTTCGGTTTCATACTAAACAACTCGAAGGTAATAGGGTGAGGCAAAATAGTGGTGTTTTAGTAAGAGGAGTAACGAATGGTCAAAATACAAATTACTATGGTGTTATAACCAAAATAGTAGAACTTCAATATTTCGAAGGTAAACGAATTGTATTATTTAAATGTGATTGGTGGGATGTTGATCACATAGGAAAAAGTGTAAAAATAGATAAGCATGACTTTGTTAGTGTCAATACTAACCGAAAGTTAGCAACAAATGAACCATTTGTGCTTGCATCTCAAGTAGAACAAATCTTTTATGTCAAGGATAATCTTCATTCCAATTGGTCAGTTGTTTTGAATGGTCATTCGGCTTATTTAACTGATGGTACTGTCAATGAATAAACGTTTCAACAAGATGCTCAAAATTTATCCTGTACATTTGAGGAAGATGAAGACTTTATGTATTGGAGAATAAATGATCTTGGTGTTATCAGCACTGATGTTACCTTAGCTGATGATATTATTGAAGACATCGAATCAGAACCTGAAACTGATGATGAAGATTTGTTACTTTAAATATTTAGAAGTCTTATATGCATGTTTGTTTATACTCAGTTAATGTTAAAACTTTTACTTATTTGCTTGAGAGATGATGTTTAATTCTTTATTATTTTACTAAATTTATGAATTACTGCAATATACTGAATTATTTGATTGAATATGGATTAGTATTTAATAGTGTTATGTTGAAAATTATAGTTTGAATGAGTTCAAATGTTCTTTTCTATAAGGTGTATGTTGATGGATTATCTAGTTACAACTTACAAGGTTAATGAAATTATTCTGATACGCCACTATTTATGAAGTATTATTAGGAAGAGTGCTCTTAATAAGCGGAGAGATAACATCATTCAACAGTATTTTCTACATTATGTAGTCTCTTATTAGAAAAATCTTTTAATAGGATTGGGGAGGAGAATAGAGATAAAAAAGAGAGAAAACTTGACCTAGAGTGTTTCCTTGCAACCAAACTGTTGCTCAGTTAATTCGGCTGTATACGACCATTATTTTATGCTCTAAATAATTTGACAACTGCACACTTTCCTTGTGAGAAATGGAAAGGAGTGCACTCTCTTGTCCTTACACTTCTTTCTTCTTCATAGTCAACACAATTGGTTATTGTGATTTCCTTTCTTTTTCTACTTCTACATCACCAGAAAATTTTATTTTCATTCTAAATATTAGGTTCCCGTTTTCATAGACTATAATTAATTTTTTTCAAGAAGAAATTAAAAATATTGTTTGTTCATGAAATTTAATTAATTTTTGAAAAAAAGAATTGAAGGAAAAGTTCCAAAAACTAGTTTTGACCAATTTTTGTGTGGAACTTTTCTCCATTTACAAAACTTTAATATTATTTTTAAGTAAAATGCATGTCCAAATATAACTTCAACTTCCATAAATTATTTTTAAATAGAACTTCAAAAACTCTTTTTTCAAGTTTCAACCAAATCTATGAGAAACTTATATTTTTTTTGTTAGATCAATAGACTATCGAAACAAGTTCTATATTGATTTGATGAATGTAGAAATCTTTCGGGAAGCACATATACATGAATATTGCTGCAATTATTCATCTAACTATGAAACTTTAGTTATGTTAGTACTATTTTTATAGTTACTGCAAGTGCATGATAAATTTATACTTTGCTACGAAATTTTTTTTGTCTCAAAGTTGGTAGTTATATCATTTTAAAGCAACATCATTCTTTTAGCTATAAAATTATGTTCAAACACGTGTATCATGGCTAAAAAGTTACAATTGCTACAGTGATTTTAAATTCATAGTTAAAGCTTAGAATTAGCTACACCACTTATTGTAGCTATTTAAATTCGTGGCTATATCATTTTGTCACTATAGTTAGTTGTAGCTATTGAGCTAATTGCTGTCACAGATTTTATAAATTGAAGCAAAAATGTTCAGTTAGCTGCAAGATTTTGATTGACATAAATTATTGTGGCAAAAGATACTTTGTTGCTATAACAACTTCAAACACGTGGCAGAAACTAACAATTAGCTACAAATCTTTAGTGTAGCAATAAATTTGTAGCTATTTTGGCACCTATTGCCACGATAGTTAGACACTATAGAAAAATGAGAAATTAGCTCTGTCAATTTAACTTTTGTAGCTAATAAAGTTTACGAAATTGTTAATAGCTACCAAATTATAATTTGTGTGGCTAATATTCGGTAATAGCCACATTTTTTAAATTTGTAGCTAAGAATCTGTAGCTATAAATGCATAATGTTGTAGTGAGAAATCGTGCTTAATAATAATAATAATTACACGATACTTGGACAGTTTATTGCAGCTTGTAAAGCTATTTGATAAATTGAAAATTTATTGAAATTTAATTGCAGTTTGTAAAGCTATTTGATAAATAGAAATTTTTATTGAAATTGAAGGATTTAATTAATAGATTGGGAATTGTTGCATTTGAAGGATTTTATTATTTCTGCTAATTGAATAAAATTATTGTCAACTCTGTGAATCATGCCGATTTGAATAATTATAATTTATTCCATTTATTATTGTTGACCCTTAGTGAGTGTCAAAGTTGGTCATCTCGTCTCTACCACTTCGAGATTAGGCTTGATACTTACTGGGTACACGTTGTTTACGTACTCATGCTACACTTGCTGCACTTTTTGTGCAGGATCTGAGACAAATACTAGTGGAGGACCTATCAATGGACATCCTCGTTATCTAGGGGCGTAGTGGTGAGCTGCCTTTCTGAGCCGTCCTGCAGCTACCAGTGCCTCTTCTTGTATTTTTAATTCTGTCTATTTTTATGTATAATCTATTAGATGCTCATACACTTGTGACACAAGGTCTTGACACACACATTGGTAAAATTTGGTGTCTTATTATTTTTCTTAGATTTAAATTTTATCGATATATGTTTAATTTATTAGTTGGCTTGCCTAGCTATAGTGTTGGGCGCCATCACGACCTATAGGTAAAATTGGGTCGTGACAATAAATTTACGTTCGCCTTGACTAATTTATAAACAGCCTAAAACAGTTCGTAAGAGAATCCTGAATTTGAGCTAGATGAGTACATTATAATTTTGTGATGTATCAAAAACGGATTCAAACAATTTTCCTGTTACATCTTTCAAGAAAATTAAATATGCCAATAAATTACCCTATTTTGCAGGAACAGTTTAATAAGGAGATTTATAACAAAAATCAGAGTCATACAAAAGCTCATGAAAAAGGTTTGATGTTAAGAGACAGTGAAATGTACAATACGAGAGAACACATAAAGCTCCAAATTTGATTAAGATTGTGAGAAATATATTCATGAGCTAGAAAGTTCACGGGAGATCCAAATAATATGGAATTGTGGGGGGTATCCATCTGTCACCGCCTATGAAATTCCTAACAGTGAAACTTGATGCGACCTTTGGATCATCGGTGGCAACTGCCCACTTCACACGTCCCTTTGTATCTGCACCTGGTCCTCTATTTCTATATTCCATATAAAATGGGCGGACTAGGGGCATTCCCTCAAAGTCTATCCATCCTCGTGGATTTATCAATAGGTCAATATAACTTTGCAAAATCACAGTTCTTGAGAAGTTACCCCATGGGCGACCTAAATACATAGTGATATTACCTGCTTTCTCCAAGTCCGGGGTTGCTTTTAAGGTGCAGTTTTGCAACACTAGTCCAGTTAGTAAAGTCTCAACATCTCTCTCTTGTGCAGTGATGGTAATATATTGGCCAAGCAAAGGCTGACGTACTTCAATCAAACAATTTTGGAATACTGCAGCTGCATCACCGCAGATAAAGTCTATGGTGCCCAAGATATCACAATCCCTATAAAACTGTCTACCGTACTTTGTATATAGAGTATCTTGATAACCCTCAAAACGGCATTGGTAGAAGGTAAGAAAATCTGCTTCTGCTCTTAATGCTACTGCCTGTAGCATTTTAGCTCCAGCTATGTTCCTAAAAGTGATTCCTTGGGCTACGAAGCCCTGGCCATTCACCCCTGAAAAGTGAAAAACAATTAACAGAATCAACAACGCACATAATGCCAAGGAATAATCTACTGTTAACGTGAATGATGTTAATTGGAATAAAGAAAATAGATTTACGCACCCACAGTTGCTGTATAAATTGTCCCGATTCCCGCACCATAACTTTTATCTCCCGATATTATGGTTTTGTCCATTCCTTCTCCGATGAAAACTATGTTCGTTTTCCAGCTTTCGATTTGGACGTATTCATTGTAGGTTCCTTGTTTTATTTTGATGTAGTAATATGTAACGCTATTGTTTGGAGCTGCTGAGACTGCAGCCATTATTGTCGTATAATTGCCCGAGCCATCTAGTGCTACTATTGCATTAGGAGGTTGTGTTATTTGTTGGCATCCTCCATAGCATATAATGGTTAACCAAATCATGACAAAAGTAGTAGTGAACCTCATTGATGCAGTTAGTAATATTCCAATTGTAGAATATCAAATTAAAATCGTCTGGCCAATAGGACGGAGAAGATACTGAAAATTGGAGGAAGTTGAACATCAATATATAATATATTACTTTCCTAATATTTAAGACTCTAAAAATAATTATTTTTTTGCATATTTAAATCTTTCCTTATTTAATATGTAGGAAGACCTAATATTTAGTACTTTAAATTTATTACTTTCTTACCTTATATAACTACAAGGTAAAACATCATTAAGTAGTATATAAAACCTAACCTATGGATTCTTTGACTGTATTTTACCATTTTATTACTCGATTTTATTAAAAGCCAACTTATTCTAACATACAACCAACCACGTTATTTACTTGTACTATTCCCACTTCTCGGATGTGGTTCTATTTAATTCCCAACTTCTTCTCTTATTATTTTTAATTTTCTATAATTAAATAAAAAAATTCAATAATTTATACATAAGATTTTGAAGTCAACTGATTAAGCTTTTTGTCCTTTTAGTTTTGGTAAATCAGCCACGATACAAACATATACTAAAATAAGTCTCACTCGTAATTGTAATCATTAATAGTATTTTTAGGCAAAAAAAAAAAAAAACTGTCGTTTATTTTAATTTTTTATTGGCTAAAGATTCTCTTTTGTTTAGGTTCAGAATTCTTTAGGCTTTTCCTCGTTTGAGATTAGGTTTTTTTATTGCCGTGCGGGTTTCCTTTAGGTTTAGGCTTCTTTAGGTTTTTCTTTGTTTATTTATTACTGCCGTGTGGCTTTTCTTAAATTTATGATTCTTTTATTGCCAATGTTATTTACTGCCGCAGGTTGAATTACTTTTGAAGGTTTAAGATTCTTTTATTTTGTGTCGTTTCTTTGTTTATGTTTAGGATTCACTTTAGATTTCTAGAATTTTAAGACCAAAATAATTTACATACTTTAAATTCATTATAAAGCATCAACGACTTGCTTGTAATTTGAGGTGAACTTTCTAATCTATAATCTATTCTTGAAGTTATGTAATAATAAATACATTCTTAAAAGATTGTCAATTGTGTGTTTTTTTTTTTTTACAATATTTTGATATACGATCATCAGTTTAAAACTGACTTATTCATAAATTTTGCATAGTTCTAGAATTTTAGGACCAAAACAATTTTCATATTTTATAAGCTTTATCCGAAACTCTTGATATTATCAACAAATAGCTTGTAATTTGAGGTTAACTTTCTAACCTATAGTCTGTTCTTGAAGTTATATAATAATAAACGTTCATGTATTCTTGAGCACAATTACAAATTGAACGGTTGAAAACTCTGATTTGTTTTTACAATATCTTATTTACAATCATCCGTTTAAAACTGAGTTATTTACAAATTGTGCGTATGTTGTTTGGGTCATTGTATTCGTAACTTAAAATTGATTTTCAAAATTATCTTTTTGGTTTTCACTTCTCTTTCTTTGAGTATAAAGAATTTATATTAGTAGTAGTTTTACCCTTATCTTCTATAATTCTAATATTCAAGTATTGAAAAGCATCATTAGGGATTCAGCAGGGGTTTTCATGTCCTTGTTTTACTCCTATCGACACTACGTATCATAGACTTTTCAATGTTAAATACTTTAATAAAAATAGGTAGGCACTTCTAATGAACTTTCGTGAACGAAAGGTAAAATGAAAGGTATTTACATGAGTAATTAAATCTGCTTTGCATCAGTTGAATACCATAGGAAATAGCTAACTCAATTTTGTGAATTCAAATAATTAGTGGTATTATAAAATAATTTTTGTATAAGAAGTGTGTTAAAATCAAATAATCATCGGTCTTTCAGAACACATACATGAATAGTAACTTTCTGAGGGAAGTTGATAGAAGCTAAACTTCATATTATTTAGTTATATTTATATTATTGTGTTCTACTGACATCATAAGTAAAGTTAGATTAACAATAGGTCTCATGTCCTGCTTAAAAGAAATATCAAAATATGCTCTTAGTTAAGATACCTAACAAATGGGATTTTTTATTTAGTTATTATTATGCAGGACTTGTTGCACTTAGTATCTATACATATACCTAACAAATGTGATTTTTTATTTAGTTATTACTATGCAGGACTTGTTGCACTTAGTATCTATACATTAGGCCATCCTTACACGTATGACTATATGAATGGATAGAGAACGAAATCTCTTCAAGACGAAAACAAAAGTAGAAACAATTCATATAGTGCTAATTATTGACTAGAGATATAGAACAATATTACATTTTGCTCGTGGGAAAAAGCTAAGTTTAAGTTGAACATATTGAAAGATGATTGAGGACTTCAATTTTATGTTAAAAAGACTCTTTTTTGATTGAGTTAGCCATATAGAATCAACATTAACGAATATCATAAGCTTAAAGTTTATTCTATAAACTCAAACACATTTTTTAATATGATTTTTTTTAAATTATTCAACAAGATGGGGTACACGTGCGAAGCGCGTACCCTAGGACTAGTATATATATATAGGGGTAGAGGTAGACCTAAGAATTCTTGGGGAGAGGTTATTAGGCGGGACATGGCGCAGCTAGAGCTGACTGAGGACATGGCCCTAGATAAGAAGGTGTTGAGGTTAAATATTAGGATAGAAGGTTAATAGGTAGTCGAGCGTTTCTCTTTGTCTTACTCAGTTCGCTAGCATTAGTGTTAATATGACATCCTGTTATTCATAGATTGCTATTACTACCTATAGTTTAATTGCTTTTTTGGATTCGATCTTATTTTATTTTGTTGTTATCCCTACTTGTTGCAATTACCTTTTCTTTTTTCATTCGTTCTCCAGCCGAGGGTCTATGGGAAACAACCTCTCTGCCCTCCAGGGTAGGGGTAAAGCTGCGCACATCTTACCCTCCCCACACCCCACTTGTGAAAAATTACTGGGCTTCTTGTTGTTGTTGTTGTTGTGTGTATATATATTGATTTTAGGACCTTAAAATCAATTAAAATTTTAGTTATTAATTATTTTTCTTTTTTGAAACATTTATAGAGTCCTAATATTTAGAACTTTAAAATCGATTAAGATTTACCTTACATAAATTCTTTCCTAATTAAAGTATGCAACATATTTATAATTAGTAATACTAAAATTAGAAACTTTTAAGGCTAAACATTAACTACCACTACTTGTCAAGAAGACTCGTAGAAGGAGTTCTTGGGCATAAAGTTTTTGAAAATTAAGTATAATTTGTTTATGTTTTTCTTGTAATATTTAGTATCTTGAGATCAACTAAAATTTTATTTATTAAATTTATCCTCTTTATTTGAACTAAGTCCTTATATAATTAGGATTTTGGTAATAACTAAAATTAATCAAAATCAATCTATAATCTATATCTATCTATATATTATATACTATATTAAAAGTACGAATCACCTTAACAGAATGTCGTTCACCTATTTTACTCTTTAAAAATATACATTGGATAAAAGTGTAAATTATTAATTTTTCTAATCACTACTAGAAATTCGGTAAAAACCGACCAACGTTGGTGGGTAATGGCCAAAAACTAATCAAAACGTGACCATTTACGTGTGGACGGTATTTTTGTGGTTGGAAAGGCATACCGACCAAAGTTGGTCGAAAATTACCGACCAACTTTGGTCGGTCAATTAAATTCAAAAAACAAAAATATTGCAAAAAAACCGACCAAAGTTGGTCGAAAATTACCGACCAACTTTGGTCGGTCAATTAAATTCAAAAAACAAAAATATTGCAAAAAAACCGACCAAAGTTGGTCGGTTTTTTTCGACCAAAGTTGGTCGGTATTTTAATTATGTAATAAAAAAATTCACCATCTGGGAATCGAACCGGGGTCTGTACTGTGGTAGGATACTATTCTACCACTAGACCATTGGTACATTTTATTTTAAGACTGTCTTTTATTTAATTTATACTCTTTATTTGTATTTGCGCACGAAAATAACCGATCAAAGTTGGTCGATTTTATTAAAAAGTAAAATTACCGACCAAAGTTGGTCGGTTTTTTTAAATGACCGGCCGAATTAACCAACCAATTTTGGTCGGTTTTTTTAATATTAATTTTTATTTATTTTAATT